ATTCATATGTTAATAGACCTTGATAGAACCTACTAAGTCTTGCTAATTCATATATGATCGTTTGAAAACTATTTCGATATTCAAAATCTTTTTTTTATTTACTATTTCAAATGTTCATTGAATTGTGAAATTTAACATTTTTAGTTTTGTTAAGGTTAGCATAATCAGCTTAATTGATAAGCTTCTTTTATAGATTCGAAAGATCATTTTATATATATATATGCATTTTTGATTATCAATCTAACAGAAAGATTAAAAGAATTTGAAATTTTATAAAAATTTTTCTTTATAGTGAAGTTCAATCAAAGATAACACCAAATGATACAACACCATCACTACCATATACACATTTATTAAATTTAATTGAATCAATTCGTAAAAAGACAAATGAATTAGAAATTATTTGGGAGAAACGACGATTACGTGTAGAATTATTTGTACAAATGAAACATTTTGAAATATATTCACGCGAAGTAAGTAACAATAAATCAATATACTATAATTAATATCATTAGTCAAGTTAAATTTAGTTAGATTGATTGACAAGCTAGATTTTCTCAGGTAAAGACGAGAGAAAAAAGAAAAGGAGAAAGATATTCAAGGTTAATCAATTAACATTGCAGCAAAACATTTAAGAAAAATATAAATATACATAACAAGCTTTACAAGGTTATATTAGGTATAATTGGTATATCAAGTATTTTCTGACGTACATTTTTAAGTTCAATAATGTTCGATTTTTCTTTTTTTATCGTTATTTTTTTTTTTTCATCTAAATTAGTTAAGAACTGAGTAACACATGTGACATGTCTCGGTGACAGTGACGAGATAGACAATCTGACCCTAAAAAAAAAAAAAAAACTTCTTATTTTTCTTTGTTTATTAGTAGATAAATAAAATTTGTTTCTTTCTCTTATCCTTGATAGATTCTTGAAATTATTCTATTGATAACAATAGTACAATTAAAGAATGTATAAAAAAAATAATTAATGATGCTTCATTATGTTTACTACCATACCATTAGCAATGCCAATATATTTATATATGTGTGTGAAATACAGAAAGAACATTGGATAACAACAAAAAAAAAAAACAGTAGAAGAAAGACGCATCATCAGTTTGGCAACTTGTTAGCTCGACAAAAAGACAGACAGTTGTCAGATAGAGAAGAGTGCAGTGATAAATGGACTTATTGTATGCATTACAGTAGTACTTGTCACTAATCTTCATCAACAAAAACAACAGCATTGACTACCAAAAAAAAAAAAGAAGAGTACTACCAATGCTATATATCCTAATTTTGAGATACGGAAGAGAAAAAAAGAGAGAGACAAAACGAGAGGAGACGAACGATTGCTTCTGTATATGTCCACGTGAGCCACATTCGTGTATATTCATACATATATACATACATTCAAGTCACCTTGCCTGTTCTTTTGCTAAGCGCAATACCTATACATTGATGATAATAATAATAAAAGTCACACATTTTTCAGCGTTAGAATATTTACTTTAATTTTTTTTCCACTTTCCACAAGGTGTCACATTTACTCGATATTTGGTCACACGAATTGACAAAAATGCAACAACAACATCAACAACAACAACAACAATCGACCAATTCTGTTAGTTCTGTTATCATTCCACCAGCTCTTCCATTAGCTTTACAAACGCTCATTAATGGAGGTACATCGACAACACGACATCGTTCTCATCATCATAGTAGCGATCGAACGACTGGTAAAGTGGATGATTGGGCCCAAGTGCAAGAACATATACATACACGCGTTGCACAAGTCGTCCAACGTGGTAGAGACTTGCTCAGTGTAAGTAATCTCAAGAGATTTACTTTTTTTTTTTTCTTTCTTGACTTCTTCTGTTTCTATATGTTTGTTATCACAGATGACTGTCACCTCCCTATAGATAAATCGATGAATATATTATCTATCGTCTTTCGTGCTTCTTTTTTTTGTTATGTATATATATGTATATTCTTTTTTTTTCCTATTGTTTCAATAGATAATGGAAAAATCACAAGATTTTAAAATAAAAGTAGATCAACCACAATCATCATCATCATCATCATCAATAAATGAATCAACGAATTCAAATCAACAACAATCATTAATACCTTCATCAGATCAAATTCGTAATCTAATTTTAGTAATGAATGATCGTGAACAAAAATTATCAGAATTAGCAACACAACAACAAAAACTTATTCTATGGCGTGTACAATTTGTAAGACTTGAACGAGATTGGAATGAAGTAAGACATGGAGAAGCCTTTTTTTTTAAATGGTTTCAAGAGAAAATATTCTTTTTTTTTGAATTTAGATCAAAATAATGATTAATAATTTTGAAGCAAAATTAGCATCAAATTTAACATTAGCTATTAGTTTAACTGATGCTGAAAAATTCCATCGAGATCATGAAGATATTAAACCATTTGTAGATGTAAGATTATTTGATCATATGAAAAGAAAAAAACCGCGTTGCTTACGGACACTCTTGATTGATGATAACGAAAAATAAAATAAAAACCGCAATTCTTTCTTTTGTCTACTAATTATTTGTCTTTTGATGTATCTTTTTATGAAGGACAGAAAAAAAGAATTTACTCTTATAAGGGAGAAGGTCACCAAGTGTAAATCTCCGTTTTCAATTGGCTTCACGCTAGTTTATAGAGCTCGATCATATAGTGTTTTCTTCTCCATAAGTGGTCTTTAAGAAGTTGGGTAAATCTCAAGATCAGAAATAGTATATTAAGTTACAATTTTCAAAGGACCGTATACACTCATATACAATCATTGTATACTTTGAAGATTTCAATAACATGATTACAGTGAATGTATGGAATTCAACTATTTCTTTTTTTCAAACCTCATGCAATTTCAGTTGTGTATTTATGTATGATATACATTAAAAATACATACTGATCATGTTTTCAAGTACTTATCTTATCTATAATACGCTATCACAAACAGAA